AATGCATTAAAAATAACAAGAATTAAATTTCCCCTCTGTTGAATAACGAAGTGGAACAAGACCACGGCCTTGATCCTACAGTTTAAGTTGATGCAGGTTCTTGGGAGTTCGATTCAACGAAATCTACTCAGAATACTATTGTTGCCGATGTTTGTACTTGAATCACGGTTACAGAGAGCTACTGCTATCAGTTGCAGTCGAACTTAATTGGGGTCAAAGCTGACCTTCACTCACAACAGATACGCAATGAACCAATGCAGAAGAACAATCATCGACTTCGCACACGCCAACATGATCTCCCATAAGACCAATCTCACCGCAATAAGCAAACAAGGAAATCAACATTACACTTCCCCACTTTCCTGGCAACACGATGTGGTTAAACATCCTCCAAAAGGATAAAGCACAATTCCCTTTTAAAGAACTTGCATACTTCCTGCACAGTTTAATTTCACTCAGACCTTAAATACGATTATCACATTCTTAAGAATGTTGTGGTTAAGTGCTAATTTGTGTAACAAAAGCAAGGAATTCGAAGATTCGCCATTAAAATATCAAGTGTTATAATTTTCTTAACACTTCATAATTGCAAACAAAAAGAGCAAAGGTGACAGTGCCTTTACTTACCCAACGGCCGACGTCTGAATTCCACCCAACAATGGTTCCCTCGAGCCGCGAATGAGAACGGACTTTAGCTCCACTGAGAACGGCAGAGTCCTGAATTCGAACGCCGTCCCCTATGCATACATCAGGTCCAAGAGTGACGTTGGGTCCGATCACACAGTGAATACCGATTTTCACAGAAGGATGCTATAACGTAGGTTAAATACAACGCGTTCCAAAATAAAATTCAAGCTACTTCACTTACAAATAAAAGAATAAACCAGTGGGTGATATGTCGTAGCGATTTTGTGTACCCCTTCAGGTTTTTAAGACGGGCCAATAAAACAAGTGAATCAGCTTTATCAACAAGGAGAATGCATAAATTCCATTAATTCTGCTATTCTCTAGAGAAAGTACAATTTATTTCGTGTGCAGTAAAAAACAAAATGGGATTTACATACAATGAGGACATTTCCAATAAAGTCGGGGAGATCGCGATGCTCAAGACATCCCTTGTTTCGTAAATGCTCCAAATACATTTGCATTCCAAGCAGGAAGTCTTTCGGACGGCCTATATCCATCCAAATCCCTATACGATTTAAGAAACTCAATTTACTTGCATATTAAATCCGTGAGCGTATAATATTATGCTAAATCATTCCTAAATTGTTTCGATGGACAGTTCAATAAATCAACAATCAAAGATTGCAGATTGTTATGGCTCTTCAAGACAATGTTACTCACCACTGATTTCAATGCAATACAATTCCCCATCATTAACCATCGGAGGAAATACGTCTAGTTCTAGAGAGGTAGGTTTCAGCTGTAAAAATGTAATTCTAAGCTATAATAAACTACCTGAATCCGTCGTAATACGGAGGGATTGAACACGTACAGCCCTGCATTTACTTTGTTTGCAATAAAATCCAGTGGCTTCTCAACAAAACGCTGCACCGCACCAGATTGATCGTTGAAGACAACAGCGCCAAATCTACTGGGTTCTTTAACTTTTGTAACCTTAAAATAATTAACGGAAAAGGTCGTACTGCCATGGTTCCCTCCTTTCCGTGTGATTTATGAAATTCCATCAGTTTCTTAAATGGATATTGACAAATTATGTCACTATTGAGAACATAAAAAGGTTCCTCAGATTCGCAGAGTAAACGGGCAGCATTTGCTAGTGGTCCAGCTTGAGGTTACAAAAAATAGGCAATGCTACAATACCTGTGCCAAGGTGTTCGGATTCGTACGAGAATATTACATTAACACCAGATTTCTTGATAACCTAAAACTGCATAACCAGATTTTTAACAACCATCTTGCACATCCGCCGAATTTCACTTTCCAGACAAGCAGCATCCTCATTTATTGCAAGGATGATTGTTTTTATTCCAACCTTTTTTTATATGGAATGAGAAGACCTACTTTTACTAAGGCCTCTATTTGGTACATCAACATTGGTCGATTACAGAATTCAACTAATGGTTTTAAGACGCTTAGAGTAAGGGGTCGTAACCGAGCTCCATAACCTCCTATAAGAATAAGAGCTTGCATAGTATGTCGAAAATCGCAACGAACTTGTAGAGCGCGCAAACGACCCATTAGATTTTGTTGTATCACGAGCATTATTTTACTAATCCAGAAAGAAGTCGCATCCATTTGCGTGCCAAATTCACTGGTTTTAGCATTCTTTCTGTTTTATAATCTTTCAAAAACTCCGAAAAACTCCGAAATTCATGTATTAAGTAGTAGTATTCTTTGGCGTTATTTGCAATAAGACTGACAACTAATAGTCTAAAATAGGATTATTCTATGGAGGTTTGAGTTCGTAAAACTTAATGCCTGCTTTATGCACAAGGACTGTGCATTTTCTGCCAGACATAAGAGTAGCCTATGATGCTCTCTCGCATTAACTTGACTTCTAATTACGTAAAATACGGGGACTTTGCAGCTAGTAATCCTCTTCCGTTCTGCCTTGCTGGCTTGACTGCCGGACTAATCTGCACATACTTGATTGATCGTGCTGCTTCCGTAAACTCTTTGAGCTCTGAACCATGTTGGTGGCTTCGCGTCCTTTCTATTTGTCTAATGTGTACAATCTGCTCAACTTTTAAGTGTCCTTCTCCAAGTGTCAGCACTCCACAACCCACACTATTTTCATGATAGGCTTAAAAATCTGTAATAAGTCATAAACTCGACTCAATATACCCATGTTCGGAGCTGAATCTCTCCTTTTGGAAGAAGTCATTTAACTTTAGTGCGCGTCAAGCTACTTTAGGCCAGTTTCTTAATCACGTATTTTTTACCATTTACACCAACACACCCGATGAACGAATTGACGAGCTACTGACAACATGGATTAAATCTCACCACTTTTTGTAGTCACCTAAGCCTTCCTAGAGGCAAAAGAATGATAATATTTGGAGAGAACACTCGTATGCTTAGAAAGAAAAAGGGAGTCTGGAACAATGTCACAGATCAATGGTCGACCCTCATGACGAAGGCCAAACGGCTACCCAGATACCCGTAATCACAACCA